TATATATATATATATATATATAATATTTTTATAGTTCTCAATAACAGTAATAAATGAAATTAGTAAATACATAATATGTATATATTATGTATTTGCTTATTCCATTTCATATATTAATAATCTTTTAAATACTGTTGTATTTTGTATGTAATATTTTGTATTTTTATATTTCTTAGTGACTAGATATGCTTGTATGTCAGAATTATATAAAAATATATATATTATAGATATCATACTGTAGATTGTGTATTCACAGATTTTTTCTTTTTAATGTTGGTAATGCTGTTAATTATTATTATTGTTCAATTTTTGAGCTATCTTTAGCAGTCAATTAAAATACTTTACAAAGATAATGATGACCATTGACGGTGACCAAAGATAAAGAAATCATATTCTAATATCTTAATCTCAAGCTGCAGAGATTGTGTAAAGAATAGTCAAGCAAGCATGTATATACACTAAGGATTAACATATTATAGTCGATTCATTTTTTTGTATTTATAAATAATTAGTTGAAATATACACGCATTATACGTAAAACACATATGCCTTATACGTGAAATGTATATGTGTTGTATGTGAAATAGCTTTAAAGAAAGAAAGAGAAAGAGAGTGGATAAAAATGTTACATAAAATGTTACATAAAATGTCTTCATAAAATCATACGATATCTTGCGATATCGCGTTAAGACATAATAATATTGCTGTAGCATTACAAATTTAGTTAGCTGTCACAAATAGCAATAAGAACTGTAACATCTATGTCAAGTCAAACACTTTCGAAAGTATATAAATATTAATATATGTTTATTTTACAAATCTTAATGCAGAAAACGATCAGAAAGTTATATATTGAAAATGATAAAAACCGTCTATTTGAAAGTTTTGTGTAATTAAAATTCTAAAAATATTTAAAGTTTTTATTATTTTATTAGAATATTATTTTTATATTATTAGACTCTCATATTATTTTTATATTATTAGACTATAACAGTTTTTATCAATTTAAAGAACTGTATTAATTTTTATCAATAATTAGTCAGTTAATAAATTACAGTTATATAAAGATACAGTTATATAATGAGCAAAACATGATTTAAGTATTTGTTTTAAAAAATTTTTTACTAATTTATTAAAGTATCATTAAGGTTCACATTATTTTGAAAATTTTTATTACAATTCATTTTATTAATAATTAACTTATCATGAAAAAATTGATGTCTTTTCATAGAAATTAAATTGAATTAATATATATCTAAAAATCTAAATCTGATATTTATATTTATGATTTGTTAGCAGAAGTTTATAAAAAATGGCAGCAAAGGCAATTCGAGAAGCAACTGGGAAAGATTTGATGAATCGCAATCTTCCTATTGGAACAAAAGCAGCAAAATGTAGATTTGTATCTATTACGGAAAATTCAAACTGGATCGATATTGTTAATAAACATCCATGGTTAAAAACAGAAAGATTAGTTGTTAAACCAGATCAATTAATCAAGCGTCGGGGAAAACTTGGATTAATTAAAGTAAACGCAGATTTATCTACGGTACAAAAATGGATTGAACAACATATGAATAAAGAGCAACGCATTGGCAAAGCAATTGGAAAATTAAAAACATTTATAATTGAACCGTTTGTACCACATAAATCGGTAGGTTTTTTTACATAATTGTTTTTTTTTTATACACATACAATGCATTTAAAAATTTCTGTAATTATCTTAATAAAATAAAAATAATAATACTTGAAAGATTTAAAGTAAGAAATAATTTAAGAGATTTTATTTTGATAATTCATCATGTTATATAGAACAATAAGTTATTTTGTCTATCAATTAATACATTTAGTCCATTGTACAATGATTTCTATAAAAATGATTTTAAATTTATATATAATTAAATTTATATATAAATATATATAAATATATATATTTATAATTATATATATATATAATTTATAAATATATATATATAATTTAAAGTCATTTTTATAGAAATCA